ATAAGAAATGAAGAAGGCAGATTACCTGGACAGTACGGGCATATGGGATATCGGCAAAAGGTTAATATCGGACATCCTTAGTTATGCACAATGTCCTGGACCTAACAGAGGGGTGTACATGTGCAAGAATGTGCACGGTTGATTTATGATACACTTCAATAAGACGCAGGATTGTGTGCGCGTGGGTGGGACTTGTCCACTTGTCCAGTGCAGAGACAATCATCCATGGGAAAGCCTGAACACAATATTCACTTCCAGTGTCACACTTTCCGGATTCCCTCCTGTTCACGTCTGCGTTATCAACTCAGAGCGGTATATACTTACATTAATAATTCAACGCATACACACTTTCCCATGCGAGCTGACATACACACACTCACACACACCGTGCTGGTTCCTGCTTAATGTAGCTGGGGTGTGTGTACTTCCTTCTGAGGATGATGTCATCAGGAGCGAACAATGAAGGAGACCGGCGTACAAACACAGGAAGTTGAGTCCAGACCCCCACCCTGCACACACACACGCACACACACGCACGCAGACACACAAACTCATGTTCCAGCCACTCAGCTTTACATCTTCCTCCTCTCTCCTCCTATGGTATCCCTCACGTCATCTTTCCTCCTACCATCTCTTTCTGTTCCTCCACATGTGTATGTTGTACAGCTGTCCTTCAGCTTGTGTGTGTGTGTGTGTGTGTGTGTGTGTGTTTTACTCTGAAAGTCTTTCTTTGCTCTTGATCCCCCTCATCTGTTTTACGTTGATGTTGTCAATGTTCTAAACATCATGCCAGGCTGTTCCTTTCCATCCTACAGTTTAAAAACATCTTGTATATTTTATGCCCTTCAACCAATTTTTTTTCTACAAAACACAAAACCACATGTTGTCTTATGCACCTATAAGCAATGGTTCTTTGATTCTCAACCCAGATTGGAAAATCTTTGTGGCCTAAACCACGGCCATATTTGGCACACTTTTGTTTAGCAAATATGTTGCTTAAACTTGGGCATTTGGTCCAATCATTCCCATTTGCCAGATTTGGCCTTGCTATGTTTCAGAGCATTTATGTATGATTTATGATTTTATAAGTCTCGTTGCTGACTCCAAATTTTGAACTGGTGAAGTCAAAAATATAGTTGAACCAGAACTTAAACCAAAGAGATTCTCAGAGAAGGAGGACGTCTCAACTCTTTATGAACACCGTCTCTCCCTCTGTCTGATCATTTCAGGCCGGTCTGGTGTCTCCCGACTGTCCAGAGCAGCTCCTCATCGCTTTAGAACCAGAAGCTGCATCTATCTACTGCCGCAAGCTCCGACTCCACCAGGTGATTGACCTCAGCATGAAACCACTGACAAACGGCCTGGATATGGACGGGTCCCAGCCCTTTGACTCCAGCTTCAGACAAGGTAGAGAGAGCGAGAACAGAGCCTCTGTTATTATCTTTAGCTTAAACCACACCGTTCCTAGAAATGTTGTTTGGCCAAAGTGAGGATAGCGCTCTGTTTGTTTTTGTGTGTGGGTCTAGCTGCGAGTGTGTGAGGGAGAAAGTAAAGGGGGAAAAAAAAGGAGCGAGATGATGTAACTGCAGATGCAGCTCGTGGTTTTGCCCCAGATTACTTTGTGGTTGTGTGTGTTTGCGATGTTCAAAGACACAGATGACTGTTGAGAGGCCAAAAACGTCACGTAGAGTAGGAAAATAATAATAAACATGGAGACAAGGCGGTTGGAGGAGGGGGGGTGTATGGAGCATAGAAATGTGGAGCGTGGGAGAAAGAAGAGTATGCTGAATTCAGACACCAGTATAAGAGAGATTCCCATTTAAAACATTGTTAATACAGTTAATACAGTCTGGGGATAGAAACAGAGCCGTCTGATCCATCGTGGTCCATATACATTACCTTGGTGGACTCCTTATCTAACTGATGGGACTTCAAATTAAAACTGTGGTTCTTTCTTTGACTGCAGCTGCAACAATAGTTGAATATTTTTGTACTATGACCAAGTTTATCATATGCATGAAGGGAATGTGATTTAAAGAAATGTGAAATATTACTGTCCAAACAAATACAGAAGGTTTGGATTCAAACGCTAGCATGTTCACCTCGATGATGGGTTAAAAACAGAGGCTCAGTTTCGTTGAATCCCTATGGTACAATGACAATAAAGACCATAAAAAAATAATTTAAAAAAATAAATACACGTAATCCATTGTTTTGCAGTATTTGAATGTGGTAGTACATGCAGCTCAATAGTTTGTTGCTTAATCATAAATATAAGATGCAGTAGTTGACTCCGGGTTCATTATTTTATATTAAACATGGCCCCAGGTACTGTATATCAACTGTAAGGAAGTACACTGTGGTCGATAACCCACTGCTGATTGGTTCACCAGCAGCCTACAGTTGCAAAAACACATTTCAGCGAAAGCGACAGAGAGTGGTTTTAGGCTGGGGAACAAAAGGCAGACTGATGCATAACTCAGCAAGAAACATGACGTCCAGAATCCCCTGCACGGACCCACATAGTATACATATGCAGCCTGTGACACACACACACACACACACACACACACTAAGCACAGGATATTGTAATTGGAACAAGGTGCAGTGAGACTATGATCTCACCCCCTCCTGGCCTGTCACTCTCTTTGTTTCTCCCTCACTTTTCCATTGTTCTCTCTTTTCTATCTGTGAACTTTTCTCCCTTTTTTTAACTTCAAATTAATTGTATTATTCTTTTGGTTAAACTTTCGTTGTAACAAGTCCATTCCTCTCTGTTGGTCAATGCAGCCCTGATTAGAAAACACTGAGTAAAAACCTGCTGTTGTCATGGCAGACCTAACAAGAAGAAGACCACAAGCACACACACACACACACACACACACACACACACACTGGAGCGGACTAAACACACACGTGTGTGAAGCCACATTTGGTGTCATGGTCATGGTTTTACCATCTTTAGCTTTTTTTCCACCTCATTTCTTCTCCAAAGATAGCACTGAAGAGTCATTAACACACACACACACACACACACACACGCACACACACACACACACAAATTGATAGAGATAGAGAGATAAAGAGGGAGAGAGAGAGAGAGAGAGAGACTGGGGTACAGTTTCTTTTCTGTTGTTTAATGTAAATGGTTTCCAGACTCACGTTCCATTCATCCCCCATATTCACCCACACACACACACACACGCACACACACACATAGACTCCATGAAGTCAAGGCCTGTGGCATTCTTTGTTCAGCTTCATTTGTTATGTGCACACACACACTAGAAAGTACTCTGATACTAGAAAGTATCTGAAAGAAGACAAACAAACGGAGAGTATATGAGTTTTGAATCACGATGATCTGTAAGGCACGGACATGTCCGTCTTACCCTCACCTCGTGAACAAGCCCTCCTTCTTCCTTTTCTCTCTATTTCTCACAGGGCTTCAGGGAACAGGCGCAGAAAACACTTTTACCCCAATTACACAAACACTTCTCTCCCAGCTGTCGAATCGTTGATTCATGAAACCCACTCTCACTCACTTTGACATCCAAACAGCACAGTCTTCCCTACAGCTTTCCCAAAGAGCCTGTGAAAACAAATTACCAGCACAGGATTTTGTGTCTCCATCTCCATGTCTTTGGACCTGCGATTATTCCTCACCTTTGAGGAATGCGACTTTACGTCGTCTTCTCGTGCTCATTTGCATGCAGCGGGGCTTTTCTGTCAAACAGGCCGCTGGCTATTTTATATGTCCGTCACATGTGCTCCACACTGTTCTGTTTTGGTTGGCCTTCGTCCAAAGCCCTCAATCTGCCAGTCAAGAAGAAAACCGAGCAGAAAAAAAAAGCCAGGGCGGTCTCCATTTCTGACAAATTGCCCCAGTTATATATAAACACGGTATTGAATGACATGGGTTTTTTTCTTGGTTCACTTGGAATTTTCATGTTCTGGATTTTGACAGATGCATTACAGTGCATGTAGTATAATTTGTTGATAATTAATTTGTCGCATACAGAAGTGTCTGGACCTGTCATGGGAACATGGACAGATGCTTTGATGACAGGGACAGCAGGTGTGGATCATGGTGATGGCTCTGAGGTCCCACAGCTGCAGAATGTCCATAAACATTGCATTCTTTTTTGAAAAGATGAGCCCACAGGAGGCTAGGAAGTTCCTACTTTGGTCCCAAATCCTCACGGAGGTCTTAAAGCTGCGTAAGAAGGATGGAGAGATAAAAAGGTTGAGAAAAAAAAAAGGTTGTAATAACAGTGTGAAGAGGATAATAACTGTTAATGATTTAATGGCTGTAACAGTTGTTTGTTTGATTGTTCTTCCCCCCCGTCAATGATTAAACTCTGATCTTTTGTGTTTGTGTGTCTTTGTCGCAGCCAGGGAGCAGCTGAGACGGTCCAGACACAGCAGGACGTTCCTGGTGGAGAGTGGAACCGGAGAGCTGTGGTCAGAGTTACAGACTGGTAGGGCTGTGCACGCGTGTGCGCATGTAACAGAGCGACACACAAACACAGACAGAGAGACCCCACATGTCGGACTGTGGTATCGATGTTTTTGCCCTTTGACCCCGCAGGCAGTCTGTGAGGAAATTACTCTTTTAATTTCAGATTTATGACCCTCGGATCGTTACGTTATCTTTCCGAGGATCATTCCTCCGTGTTCTTCCTGTGCAGTTCTATTGAGTTTGAGTAGAACTCTGTCACAGTTTATAGGCCTGTTAGAAAATGGACTTAATGAAAGCCAGTGCACCACCAACACGCTGAACGTCATTGTTCCACCTGGTTTTAAAAGTAGCAAATGGATGTATGTTATTCCATTTCAGCAGTTTAATATTGCATATTGCACGAAAACCTAATTTAATTTGATTTGAAATATTTTTTATTTATTAATTATATAAAGGAGCCTTGGAAAACTGAATAAATCACGAACGCATGGGGTACAAATGTATATTGTGAAAGCACGTTGTGAAGAAAATGATGTTGTCATTTAGAGAAAAGTCCGAGTTTACGCAAAAAAAGCATGAGCACCGAACAAAAGTTACTGACAAGTGCAAAATTTGATCCCCAGAAGAACTTGTTGGTTTTACTCCCAGACTTTTATTTCTTCAAACCTCACCGAAACTCTGAGAAGCCAGATGAGTGTCCCCTGCTGACCCTTCATGCTTCCTGTCCACACACACACACACAGGAAGGGCCAAGCCCATGGGACTCTTCTGTAAATAAACCAAAGGAAGAGAAAGTCCCATTTATCATTCCTTTTTATCCATCCATCTCTCATCTTTTCGTATATTCTTCATTTGTACATTCCTCTACATTGATCTTAACGTGTGTGTGTTGCATTAGTGCGCCTGCATTTATTTTTAGGGTGTGGTCAGAACTGAACAGCCAGACCTCAGCTGATTGTATCATTAAAAAAAACTCACACACAGAGGAAGTTCAGCGATCACAGATGCCTGATGGCTGTTTATGTTCGAGAGTCAAATAGATGGAGAACTTTAAAGGGCAGAACAAAAAATAAAGACAGATTTGGTCCAAGATGAATATTTCCCAAAACAACAGTTTCTCTCTCTGTGTGTAGGTGACAGGTATATCGTTGCAGACTGTGGAGGAGGGACAGTTGACCTGACGGTCCATCAGATCGAGCAGCCAAAGGGTACACTCAAAGAGCTCTACAAGGCTTCAGGTATGATTTGTCTGCTCTATTCTTTAAGTATTTTGAACACAAAATACAATAAGGACTTATGGTATGTAATACTGTCCTGACAAAAACTGCAACCTGGACTGAAAGCTGTAGTCAGTTTCTCAGTCAGTCAGGGTTGCACAGTTCAGCAAGAGCTCAAATGAAAGCACTTTCCCTAACAAAGCTAACATGAATGAGAAAAAGTTCTTGGACATAAATTTACACCAGCAGTCCAGATGCAACTACTGCTGACTTTAGGCCAGTCTTACGCCACTTTATTAAAATATTTTTTTAAATAAAGTTTTATGGTTCTTGGGAACTCTTTTGTAACATTCACAATAGAGATCTTTCTGTATAAGTTGTTTTTTTTTACACTACCTAACACTTTTGACAGCTTTTTATTTTTTAATTATTATTGTGCATTTTATACAAAGAGCCTCACTCTTCTTCCTGTGATCTTGTCAGGTTTGTCACATTCCCTCTGGGCCCGCGACCCTTTAGCAGCGTCTTATCTTTTCTTCCCTCAGGCGGCCCCTATGGAGCAGTGGGTGTTGACCTGGCTTTTGAGGCCATGCTGTGTCAAATCTTTGGCGACGACTTCATCCAGAGCTTCAAAGCCAAACGCCCGGCCGCTTGGGTGGATCTCACCATTGCATTTGAAGCAAGGAAGCGAACAGCGGCACCCGGCAGAGCCAACGCCCTCAACATCTCCCTGCCCTTCTCCTTCATTGATTACTACAAGAGACACAGAGGCCATAGTGTGGAGGCCGCCCTGAGGAGGAGCAAGTGAGTGTGGAGCGTTTCAGTGTGTGACAAACAGTTGTTGTTGTTTGTTCACAATCAGATATCAGTCCAACTCCATGCTGATTCATCTCTGTCTTCCGTGTGTGTTTGTGTGTGTCAGTATGAACATAGTAAAGTGGTCGTCCCAGGGAATGCTGCGACTCACACAGGAGGCCATGAACGAGCTCTTCCAGCCCACCATTTTCAACATCGTCAAACACATTGGTGAGAAATTGAAACCTGAGATTCATGAGATTCAAGACACGCCAAAAGTTATGATAACACAACATGTCACTAAACAAATCCAAAAACATGTCTCCAGATCAGCAATCTCTCATAACAGAATTTTGCTTTCTTTTTCTTTGTCCAAAACAATGTCCAAAGCTTAAACAACTTAAAAAAGACTAACTATTAACCCGAAAAAGCTGAAGCTATTTTTCTGTTTGCGCCCATTTATCATTGTCATTCTTAAAGAATCAGACTGTTACTTTGATCACACATTGGTTTGCTCTTAATTAAACAGTTACACCACAACAAATGGATTAAAAAAAAACAATGTCAAACCATATGGACATCAACAGCCGTAGCCAACTCAGAATGTGATTGTTGACGTTAACATGTTGGTGTGTTTGTTCAGTTTTGTCAAGACAGAGAGAAGAAAAATTGAGAGTAACTGTTTTGAATCAGCCACGTTCCAGTGGTTTACCAAAAAAGTGCCTCCCAGACACTTTGAGCATCACTGACTCTGAGATGAGCGCGAGTTAAAGGCAACAAGTGCGCTTCGAAAAAATATTAAGAAAATATGTCATGGTGTGATTAGGACTTCCCTTCTTCTACTTTCTCCTGACAGAGGAGCTGATGTCAAAGCCGGAGGTGCGGGGCGTGCGTTTCCTCTTTCTGGTTGGAGGTTTTGCAGAGTCGCCCATGCTGCAGAAAGCCGTCCAGAAGGCACTGGGCCGGACGTGTCGCATCATCATTCCCCATGATGTTGGGCTGACCATACTGAAGGGCGCTGTGCTCTTTGGACTGGATCCCACTGTGGTGAGAGCCCAGGAGAAGACAGTTACGTTGGCGGTAGTTTCTAACACATGATCCAAATACGACGGTCTCTCTTCCTCAGGTACGAGTGCGTCGGTGCCCCTTGACATACGGAGTTGGCGTGCTGAACAGATTCATAGAGGGACGCCACCCTCGGGATAAACTTCTCATCAAAGATGGTCGTGAGTGGTGCACAGATATCCTGGACCGATTCGTCTCTGTAGACCAGTCCGTGGCTTTAGGCGAGGTGGTGAGACGCAGCTACACCCCTGCAAGAGTCGGCCAACGGAAGATCATCATCAACATCTACTGCAGCACCACAGACGACGTCACCTACATCTCTGACCCTGGGGTCAGGAAGTGTGGGACAATTACCTTGGACCTGCCTGAATCGTTACCAACACCGGGAGCAGTCGGGGGAGCGGGAGGAGGTGCGGAGAGGAGGGAGATCAGAGCGACCATGCAGTTCGGAGACACCGAGATCAAAGTCATGGCTGTCGACATCATGTCAAATCGCTCCGTGCGGGCTTCCATAGACTTCCTATCTAACTAAAGGAGGAGCAGGAAGTGGTGATGAGACGATTTCAAAGAATTGTACATTCAGAGAATGCGGTACTGTGGGAGTGGGCTGCCGATGCAGTGAGAAGACCATGACCTTTGCATTACAACTAAGAACTGACATGAAATGTTATTTTTCTTATGAGTTCAAAAAAGCAATAAACACATAGCTTAATCAACATATGGAACTTTAATAATACGGTAGGTCCAAAGCTGACCTCTGGACTGACCTGAGGATCTGTCTCAGATAAACACCACCAACACAGTAAACTACCTGAATGAAAACTCCTGTACGTTTGTGCTAAACATACCATTTTGTCACTTTGTCTCTCGTACACGTTACTATACCTCATTGAATCCTATTTTAGTGATCATTTTATTAGCGTTTGATGCAACTTCTGGAACCCCGTTTCTCCAATATCGCCGTAATTGTGCCACCAAGTGGTGTAAAGACTGTACTACCATTCATATGGTAGGAATGACCGAGCTGTTGGTCTTTAAAAGTTGATATGGTAGGAAAGACCGAGCTGTTGGTCTTTAAAAGTTCTTTTTTTGCTTAGAAGAAAATAATTTGTGGTTATTGGGCATTATGTGTTCTTTTGCAGCAGAATTGCTACAAATGCAAGAAACCATCCGATGTACTGTAACTGAAATGTTAAAAAACAGAGACAACTTTTCTGTTTGACTTGACAAAGATGCTTTGATTTGTATACTGATTCCAATGCAAGACATAGATTCAAGTGCCTTAGCACGTCGACACATAGTGAATATATATTCCAGTGCAGTTATGAAATGAAAGCTGTTTGAATAAGAGGTCATGAAACCATGAACCACTGCTGGTCTTTGTACTTTAGCCAATTAAAACTACGATTAGTTTAAAAAAAACATTAACCAATATTCTTATAGCATAATCTGTTTATATTATATTTTGAATATGCAATTCTCTATATGAACTATAAAAGGCAGTCATGTAAAAACATAACTGGTTTTATTCTTTAACACATCTCCTTATGGCTGTATCAGTGAATCATCCATCTTTCTCTGTATTATTTTGAGCTTTTCTTTCCCGTATCTGTTCATGAACTATTTAACTGAACAATTTCACTCCTGCTTTATTTCAAAACAATCTCATTTTTCCAATTATTTGCACAGTACTAATCCTGTGTACTTTGTCAGCCCTGATGAAAAGCTCAACAACTTAATCTCTGCCGCCTGCACTTCCTGCTCCCTTCAACTGTGTCCACTTTAATTACCTATCCGACTTGTCTTCGTTTCACCATGCAATGAGAGTGACACAAGTTTGATTTCAGCTGTGAATTTATTGTGTGAATGGTCCAATAAATAGTTTTCCACAGAGCAACCAGTAAATGGTTCAAACTGCAAAATCACGTCAGTGCCACTTTTCATGTTGTCTCCCAAGAGAAGATGCCCAGTAGAAATTATTGTACGGATTCTCAACCTCAAGAACGACGACCTGATCTGGTGGTGACAGGAAAATTTGTTTCAAAACATTGGGACTGATCTCAGTCTTCAGTAACAAAAAGTTTTAATAAGCATTAGCAAGGCTTTAGTATAAAAGGAACTGATGAAAGCTGTCAAACACAGGCAAGACTTATTTTGCCATTTGCCTTAATGTTTCTTAAACTACACCCATCATGAAAATGTCTACGTCTGGTTCAAAACAGCCTACTTGATCTGGGAATCAAAACGAACTTCGTGCGTAATACAGCAATATGCATACAACCACTACAGTTGACATGAATTTAGATTTCAATACCAGTTTAGAATAAGGTTCTGTTCCTGCTTCCCATTAGTGAGCATGGGGTCTCCCGCGTCCTCTGCCCCTGCCACCGCCACCTGAAGGGCCATCCGCAGTGCTGCGAGGGTTTTTGATGGTCTCATCGACTGAGAGGATGAGGCAGGCTGCCTCTGACGCTGCTGTCAGGGCATTGATTCGGACTACAGAAGGCTCCCAGACACAGTTGACAAAGTTGTCTGCAATGTCTTCGTTGTTGATGTCCACACCGTACCACATGCCACCCTGCAGTGATGGAGTTTTTAGACGGTCAGGATCACAAATGTAACCAAAAGTGTGCAGTGTTATCTGGCTGTGTTGTTTAAATCCTACCTGAGCGTGTTTGGCACGTAGCTTGTTCAGGATGTTAGTGGCATCAAAGCCAGCGTTGTCACACAGCTGCCTTGGAATGATCTCCAGGGCCTTGGCATAAGCTCCAATCAACAGCTGCATTTTCCCAGGGATGGTCCTGGAATAGTCACGAAGGTATTTTGACAGCTCCATCTCTATAGCACCTCCTCCTGCGACAACGGAGTCATTCTGGAAAGAACAGCGGGAAACTGAATAGTTGCAAGCTGAACATTTTTTTACTCAAACAAGAGTTTTATAACTAGCTCAAGGTAAACTTACCTTGATGGCTCTGCGCACAATCATGATGGCATCGTGCAGCGATCGCTCCGTCTCCTCCGTGAACTGCTCTGCTCCACCTCTCAGAATAATGGTGCATGTTTTTGTCTTGGGACAGCCTTTGAAGAAGTTATATCTGTGGACACAAACACAACAGATGTGAGCTGCAGGTACAAAGATGCATGGGTTAATTTTTAATAAATAAACTGAACATGTCCTTACCTCTCTCCTCCGACCTGGACCTCCTCAAAAGTTTCACACTGTCCTAAGACATCATCTGTCATATCTCCTACTGAAGTCTGAATGGAGCCTCCACATGCCTGGGGGACACATAACACACAATATTATTAGAACGTTTGTCTAAAACCAAACTTCAGGGACATTTCGAAGTCTTAGCATTATATGGATGTACCATCATGGTTCTTCTCAGATCCTCCTCCTGCACTCGGCCAGCACAGAACAGATCTCTGTCAGCAAAGTACTGAGTGGCCACGTCACCAATTGGCAACTTTGACAAAACCACCTTAGCGCCAGACTTGTAGATCTTTTCCAATTTGTCGTACAAGATGTTCCACTCTGCATCCACGATGGCCTGATACTCCTGCAGATGTATGAAAGAGTATGAAAAACACATTATAACTGAAATTTGTCTGTATTTGTTTATGGTGATGTGAATCAATTTTCTCACCTTCACTGAGGAGACGCGAACCTCAGCATTGTCCTTCTCAGCCTTCAGCTCCAGCTCCACATTTAGCAAAGCAATCTTGAGATTCTCATAACGTTTAGGCTGCATCTCAAACCCAGCATAGGAGAATGTCTTTTTAAATGCTACTCCAGAGATCAGTTGGGAATCCTAAAAGAAATTAAAAAAATAAAATAAAACTACCTTCACGTCACAAAATAAGAACAAGTAAAGGAAACAAGTAAAACAATTCAATAACCAACCTCCAGGGCTCCCCCCTGCACCTTCTTGATGCCAATCATCTTTAGAGCCATCAGCTCGTCCAAAGACACGACAGCATCCACCACCATCTTGGAAAAGAAATCCTTTTGGCCAGCAATCAGCTTGGAATTCATGGCTGTAGCCGCGCATTTCTCCAACAACTGTCGCTGCTCTCTACAAATCATTTTTTTAATTAAGTTCTATTTGCAAAAACAAAAAAACGAAGACAAAACAACATTTATCAACTACAATTGAGCACCCACTGTTTATCATCTTTCTTCACAGAGACAGCGATGTCCTTAATCTTGCTAACAGCAAGGTTGGTGGCAGTGCGGAAGGCTCTGATGATGGTCTGAGGGTGGAGACCCTCCTCCACATACGGCTTCAACTGCTTCAGGAACTCAGCAGCCAGTAGGGTGACAGAGGTGGTGCCATCTCCCACCTGTGGATAGTCAAAAGAAAATAAAGATGTCTTGATGTTTGTCTTCCTATGCAAACTTAACTACACACACCCATTTTTCTGACCTCAGCATCCTGGGAGCGAGCAATGTCTACCAATGTTTTGGCTGCAGGGTGAACCACATCTAAAAGTTTCAGGATGGTGGCTCCATCATTAGAGATTGTGGCCTTACCTTGAAAACACAACATTCACAGATTAATCACACTGTATTTGTAAACTCATATATATATTTATCAATTTGACAACCATCCCTCCTGACCTCTGCCATCGACCATCAGTTTGTCCATCCCCCTTGGACCCAGAGTGGTCCTGACAGCCTCTGCTATCACCTGGGGGGGTGGGGGGGGGTCATACATTTAGACAAAAACAAAAAAACATCTTCAACTTCCTTGATACTGAAAGAAAGCTTTCCTGACCTGACAGGCATTGATGTTACTGATGAGCTGGGGAATGCCTTGAGACGAGTCTGTCCCTTCC